TTACAAACAGTTACTTATTTGTCAGAATGTCTGTATTTTAAGCCAAATTAAGTGTCTCCTGCGCTCTTTTTTCCAACTTTAGTCAACCTTCACGTTACAGAAGGCTAGCGCATGTCTATGTAATACAATGAATTTTCATTTTTCTTTTTTTTTCCAGTAAGAGGTTTTTATTTAACAGAATTTTTGGACCAAAAAAAAATCGCAATATATCACAATGTATCGCCTTGCTTACAGTATCGCAATATATCGGGATATATCGTATCGTGACCACTCTGTCATGATTATCATGATTATCGTATCGCCAAATTCTTGCCAATACACAGCCCTACAAAACATGGCAGAAATCACGTTTCAGGTCGATTTGAAAATGCTGRTCAGCTCTTTACAAACTGATGTTTTGTGTCGGCACGAGTGCCGATCCATCCAGCTTCCAGCCTTCACCTGGAGGTGGAAGATGTGGATCATGACAGGATTATCAGATCCTGGATACAGTTCTCTGTAGGGTTCTGGGCTCAGAGGTGAAGGCTTAGAGAAAAGCCTGGAGTGGATCCATGATGAGACAGATCCTGCATCATGCTGGCCCTCAGGCTTTGGTTTTATCTGCTCCCTGGATAACATTTCCKATGACTGGTTTAACCCTCAGGAGAACAGCTTGACCCCAGAGTGTGTGTGACACAGCTGCTGCCTCTGAGGCTGCAGATCAGCAGCTTCAGGCCAGAAACAAACATTAGTGTTTTAGAGACTCTGCTGTAAGAAATATTTACTTTTCATTTTTAAACCAAGATGTAAACTTGCAGGGATTTATTTACCTATTTGAAATATATTTGTCTTTTTTTTATAACAATAATAATTAAAACATCCATCAAAGTGTTTCCATCAAGGCTTTTTGATGCGCATTTAGAAGTGTCGCATTAAAAATGCGAAAAAAAGTCGGATGGAAACCGCAAAATTCAAAAAAAAAATCCTCAGTTCGCTAAAAAGTTTTTACACTCGCTTGAGGTAGTTAATGTGCAAAACGGGAGATGGAAACACGTTTGCTGAATAAATTCTGACGTAGCGCATATTTACTAGGGCTGTGTATTGGCAAGAATTTGGCGATACGATACATATCATGACAGAGGGGTCACGATACGATATATCCTGATATATTGCGATACTGTAAGCAAGGCGATATATTGTGATATATTGCGATTTTTTTGGTCCAAAAATTCTGTTAAATAAAAACCTCTTACTGGAAAAAAAATAAAAAACCAAAATTCATTGTCTCAGAAAATTCTATTACTGTACATAGACAGCCGCTAGCCTTCTGTAACGTGAAAGCTGACTACAGT